AACAAAGTAAAGTTAATGAATCATTTGCTATCTTGTGATATTTTACATTTATGGTTATTCTAAGCACAGGTCAATGGTCTCATGTGTGTATTATTGAATACTTGATATAACTGGTAAGTATTGACTATCACTGCTCTGAGTACTAGCTAAGTATTTGTTCATTAAATATTCATAATCTCATTTAATCTCAAGAGGTAAATATTACAGATGAGAAGCCAAAAATGTCAATAACATTCTTGAGAACACTAAAGTAATAAATAATGAAAGTTTTAAATCCACAAACCACAATGTACAACCTAAAATTCTTATCAGGGGTCTGAAATGCATCTAACCCCTAAACCACAGAGCTTATAGGTCTTTAATGTATGTATGTATCACTTGCTACAAGGTAGATTCTAACTCAGTAGGTCTAAATTAGAGCTAGTGCATCTGCATTTCTTGTAAACTCTCAGATGATACCATCATTGCTGATGTCAATATCAAGGCACCAGACCACCGTATTCGCACACTATTTTACCAGAAGCTAAAACTAAATTTCAAGAATAAGTAGGTTCACTATTAGTTCACTGGTAACAGGTAAATAATTGGATATCTCAGTCCAAAAGAATTGCAGAGATGAGATTTTTCTGAACCTTGTTAATGAATTTAGACTGATCTCATGTTTAGAAATTGAGGTGATAATTTTAGTTATAAAATGTAGTTTAGTACATAATGATTAACAGTGAGTTCAATCTGTAATGCAATATTTTAAAATTTTAAAGCATATTTTATTGAATATGCTATTACAATCATCCCGTTTTTCCCCTGTGCCCTTGCCCCTCCATCCATCCAGTACCCTATTCCCTCCAGCAATTACCCCTCTCCTTAGTTCATGCCCATGGGTCATATACATAAGTTCTTTGGTTTCTCCATTTCCTATACTATTCCTAACCTCCCCATGTCTGTTTTATACCTACTATTTATGCTTCATATTCCCTGTATCTTCCCCCCCATTCTCCTCCTTTTCCCCTCCCTTCTGATAACCCTTCATGTGATCTGGATTCTGTGATTCTTTTATTGTTGTAGTTGTTTGCTTAGGGTTTTTTGTTTGTTTGTTTTAGGTTCAGTTGTTGATAGTTGTGGGTTTGTTATCATTTTACTATTTATATTTTGATCATATTCTTTTTCTTAGATAAGTCCCTTTAACATTTTGTATAATAAGGGCTTAGTGATGATGAGCTTTTAACTTTACCTTGTTTGGGAAGCACTTTATCTGCTTTTCCATTCTAAATGATAGCTTTGCTAGATAGAGTAATCTTGGCTGTAGGTCCTTGCTTTTCATCACTTTGAATACTTCTTGTCAGTCCTTTCTTCCCTTCAGTTTCTCCTGAGAAATCAGCTCCCAGTCTTTTGGGAACTCCTTTGCAGGTAACTCTCTTCTTTTCTTTGACTGCTTTTAAGATTCTGGAGGCATAGGAAGACATGCTTCACCTCCCCGTACAATAGTAAGAAGGACAGCAACCAATCTAAAAACAAAAAACAGCCAGAACTGCCAATTCTTCTTAAATATTTGCGTATTCGGTCTTCATAATATGCCTAAGAAGGAGTGGAGGATGACAGATACATTTGAGGAAACGGAGACACTAGCCTCCCACCCCAGGTTACTCAGGCAACAGCAACAACACACAGGTGCCCAAACTCATTTTCTTCCATCAGTTGACCTGGATAGATGCAGAACAATGCTAGTACTAAAACAGTTAAGATAAAGACAAATTCTGATTTTGCTTTCAATGCACACACAATCAAGGCCAAAGTGATTCAGAAGCATTAAGAGTAATTTTCAATTGTGATTGTATTAATTTGAATCTAAGTATAAACAACATAGCTGCATACATCATTTTATTATGCTGCTGAAATTTAAGAAGCCATTTTATTATCCTACTCTTTCCTTTGCTGCAGAACTCATATGGGTGATATTTGGGCCATTTTCTTCTCAGATGCTATAGGTTTGGTGTAGCTGGAAGGACTGGTTATTTTACTTTGTGTGTTTATTTTAATGAAATTAACTGTGTTGAATTTACTGTCTTCATATGCATATGTTATAAAATTGTATTCAGACTTGAGTTGATCTTTAAATATCAAGTATATTTACCATTCTTTGAGGGCTAATATTTTTACAGAAAAAAGTCTCTAACTTGCTGTGGAGACAAAGTAATAAAGATAAATCAAGAAATCTGTGGTCAGTTACTAGAAAAGGAATATATTAGAACCTCTACATGTAAAAACACCTGAGAATAGATAGCAAAGATTCTTCAAATTTTTTCTTTAAATGTATATTTACCTCTAAAACTAATGACTGGGTATATTCTAAGCTATATCAACATGATACTATTGAATCATCAGATTGTACTGAACAAGCTGTGCAGAGGTTCTCTGTGGAAGTTTACAACTATGGTTCACCAATCATGATGAGCAACAATACTTAGGGCACCTTCATTACGGGATTATATGAGGGAGGTCTCTGAAAAGGGCAATAGGCATACTGAGATGACCAAACTTCTCACCCACTGACATGATTTTATCAACCTTCAGAATTAGTTAAGGGACCATAACAGTATCTAGCTAATACAAAAACAAAAACAAAAACCAGTTCAGGTAGAGAGTCATTGATAACAATTTTGTCCTTTAATTTTTGCTGGTGTCCACTCAGAAGATATAGATAGCACAGAAAAAAACAGATAATTTGGGTTTGATTATTTCTCTTGCTTCTCATTAGCCATTCCTTTAGGACACTCTGGTCCTCTGTCCTCAGTTTTTCAAAGGCACCAAGCTCCTCCTTGCTCTCAGGCATTTAGACACAGGGATCCCTCTGTCTGTAGTAAACAAACACCTCCAGCTTCACTTTTGGCTTCCCTTGTGACATATCCTTTCAAAGTGGTACATTTCCTTTACAATAGTTGCTCTGAGTAATTTTTCTAACCATTTAATATTTGTCTTTTCTACTAAACTATAAGCAACATGAGAGTAGGGGGTTCACTTTTCACAATATGTAGGCCCTAGTAATTTAGTAAATATTTATTGGACAATGGTATGTCAACTAGGGTGAACTCCTGAGTTATTATTAATGTTTATGACCTTTACAATGAGTTGTGGATAATGCCTTGTGTGTGAAGAGACAATATGTTGATTTTTTTATGTAAAAAGTAGAAACTTTTGTAAAAATAAATTGAGAACTGTCCAGATGTGCTTATGAAGAAATTGAGTCCTAAATGAAAAGATTTAATAAGAACATACTTAACAGTTGGTGATTATTCATCATGAATAAAGTATCTTGGTGCTATGCCTTATAAAGATTTATTGACCAGAATCAGGATTGACCAGGAGCAAAATTCTTGGATTCCCTCTGCATACATTAAAGAAGCATACAGGTGACCACTTTTAAACTACTTTTAAACTCAGAAATTACATTTTGCAGAAAATTATTTCTTGGAATATAATTAAATGTTTGATTATTCACTGCTATAGTTTGGGGTGTTTAATATCATTAAAAAATTCCTGCATTGTTTGCATTAGTTTTCCTTCTTCTGTTCACCCTTTTGGCTACTGAAGTATTGCTGAATAGATATCTGATATTTAAGTAATAAGAAATGAGGAGTGAAATAGTTTAATAGTTTTTAAAAAGAATTTTAACAGCTCATCACCCCAGAAGCTGCAATACACTGGTATATATTAGTAAAATTCAATATCCATGTAAGGTATCACCATACAGTCCTCACAAAATAAATAATAAATTATGATTCAAAGTACACTTAGTTTGTTAAAAGATACAATTTTTGAATAACAGGCTCAAATTCTTCATCTAGGGAATCCACCTATCCTGGAAATATGCTATGGGTGAAACTTTTTTAAGTTAGGAGAATTAAGTGCTCAGGAAGACATATATTATTTCTAAAAATGTATAAATAGAAGCTATTGTTTTGAATGATGTATTTCCCATAAGTAATTGTTTAGACATTAGAAATCAGCTCATGCAAGCTTGCACTTACACATTTGTTTTACTCTCTTAATAAGGGGGAAAACTAGGCAAGAAATTAATATTCCACCCCCAAAAGGGCAATAATCCATTTTGCAAAAACTGTCTTTATGATTCCTGTGAACTTATATGACAAGGAATATATCTGGGAAGATGGCTGCAAAATCTAAGCTATGCTACATTGCTTGCAGTTACCTTGGATTTTAACTTGATGTGCAAGTTGACTTCTGACCATGGGGATTCCTCTCCATGCATGGTATAGATTGTTGAGGCCATGGCAGATAACCAGTTCCACAGAAGCAACTTCATGTTCTTCTGAGGAAGATCCATAGCACTGTGGAACAAGGACTATAAATGAGTGATGCCACCGATACTGCAAATGGGGCTACCAAAATACACCCCTCAAAAATGAACTCTGAAGGTGGGAAATAGACAAGAAAAAATTTAATAGTTTTATTAAAATGATTTGGGTTTTCATGTTAAGAGAACTGATGGATATTTAATAGGCATGACATGTCCTTCTTATGGATGATACAGTCAAAAGACGTATTGATTTCAAACTCATTAAGTAGATAATCATATAAATTATAATATAAATCATATAATCATATAAATTATTTGTTATAAAAATAGTTTTCAGCATTGCCAGAATTAAAAACAAAACTTGGATGTCTAGAGGAAAAAACACCAAAAGAAAACATTCAAACCGTAGTAATAAAATATTTGGCCTTTAATCGTATCAAATTAAATTGTTTGAAAGCTCTCCTTCCTCCACCCATAGTTATACACAGACACACCAATCTTTAAAATTTTTATCATGGCCAAAAAAGGGGTTTTCATGGACACTTTTTATTAATGGAACTCACTTTTTAATAGATTTTTAATAAGTTGCTAATCCATTTTAGCTTCAAATAAGTTCCATTCCATTTCTCAGATCCCTTTCTAACAGTTAGTATCCTGTAACATGAGGAGAGCTTCCTGTAGCACTTTAGGAATTATCTGTTTCAGGCTTAAATACGAACAGTTTATAAAGTTCTCTCTCTTCTTCATCGCCCAGCAGGAATGATAAGGGCATATCCAAAGTCAAATGATTCTCTTCTTCTCTCTGCTTATCCTTCTCCAGCCCCTCCTCTTCTATTTCTGCAGCTTCCTCCTCCTCCTCTTCCTTTTCTTCCTCCCCTTTATAGTCAGCCTCTTCGACCTCCTCTTCATCCTGGGTCTCTGCCTCTTCATCCTCCTCCTCACTCTCTTCCTCCTTCCCATCGCACTCCTCACACTCCTCATCGCACTCGTCATTTTTCTCCTCTTCTTCCACTAGCTGTGGGGCAGAAGACTGATTTTCTTCCTCGGGGTCAGGAGTAAAGGCCAGAGGGTTCTGCCCAAAGCCGTACAAGGTGTCAGGCAGCTCCGCGTCTTCCTCACCACCACTGAGGGGCACATCGTTTTCCCCTTCCTGGGCCTGCTGGGCTTTCTGTGCCTCCTGCTGGCGCTCTAGCTCCTCTTGCTGCCTCATGTCCTCGTAGATCTGGTTCATGATGAACTGGGTGGTGTTGCGGGGCGCCTGCAAGCCGGGCACCCGCATGTCAGGCACCTGCCACTCGTATAGGTTGACAGGCCTCGGCAGCTTTCTCCCATCCACTGGTGGGCTCTTCTTGAAGGGGCGGCGAGGGTGACGGCGCAGGCCACCACCCCTGCGGCCCCACCGCTTCTTCTTGCCAGGTGGCCTCAACCAGCCCGGGTTCCAGGGCCCATGCCAGCAAGAGCAACAGCAAAGGCAGACAGGGTGCAGACCACACATGCGGGTCACTTGCACCGGCCCTGGGGGCTTCTGGTATCCCATTGGAGGTGGGCACCAGGGCGCTCCCCAGCACCCCCAGTGAGAGTACATGGCCCAGTAAGGACTTTGGGGCGGTTGGAACCAGTGGCCCCAGTGGTGTTGTTGCTTTGGCTGTTTCCTAGGAGGCTCATTCTCGGCCTTGGGGCCATAGCGGTGCCAGGGCTTGTAAATCGGAGGACCTTTGCGCCTTTGGTGGCAGGAAGACCCAGTGCGAAATGGCGCGGAGGATGCCCAGCCACTGCCCAGGTTACCGAGAGTCTGGGTCATGGTTCAGGAGCTTCGAGAAGTCCAAGTTGAAACGTCCTAAAAAAACTGTCTTCAAATCTGGCCAGATTCGACAGTCTGAAGAGCCTCGTCACCCTGTGTCTCTCCGCACAGCAGCAAGTGCCTGCCGCTGAGATCCTCACTGACTCCCCTTTCCAGGGGGACCCCTCTTCTCCGCTCGCTAGCTCACTGGCCCATCCGCGGTAATCTCCCGTTCTTCACACCCAGGGTTGTCTCGCCTGGGGGTTGGGTGCGAGGGGCGCTGGGTAAAGACGGTGGGGAGGAAGTTACTGACAGCTGCTTCCGGGTAACGCACACGCCCAACTCCGCGAAGGCTGGGGCTGAGGAACAGGGAGGCGGGGTTGCGTGTTACCTCCTTGCTCCCTCTCAGCCTAGGTGCTTCTCTGTCAGCTTACTGTGGGAACTGAGGCGGCTCCGGCAGCAACAGCCTTTAAATACCCGCGGGAGGCCCCGCGTGCGCACTGCGTCCTTGGTTGCCTTGGGCGACAGCCAATTGGCGTTGAGGCGGTTCCGGTGGCTCGAGGAGGCAGGGTTCTGCGCAGAACGACTGTGGGCCAAGTGACCCCTCGCAGGGGGCCTTGTGACGCAGTGTTGAGGGAGGCAAGCTGGAAAAGCTTGAGGCAGTTTATTTGAACCTTTAGTATGACAACATGCAGGTGTGGGGATATAAAAGATGGCCCTTTGGCAAAACCCCAGGTTGGGGGCAACTAGGCAGGAACCGGAGCTCGGAGAACTGTGTATTGATAAACGTATATCCAATCCCTTTGGGGGGCAGAGGGGATAAACAGAAAGCTCTGAGTCAGAAAACTCGGCCCCACTACTTACCTTATGGTCAGTGCCTATCTTCTAACAACTGGTAGCCTTAATTCATGACACAGGAAGCAAGACCGCAAACATTTACTGAGTTGCTTATTGTGTACTGTGGGCTCATAATCCTCATGCCTACCTTGTAAGGTATGCCTTGTTACCACGTCTCACATATTTGGGAACTGAGAGATTAATACGCCCAAGGTCATGGGGCCAATGAACTTTAGGGCTAGTTTTAAGCACAGACTCGTTTGGCCCCAGATCCTAAATTCTTAACATTGTTACACTATACTACACACCCACCTTAAATAGAACTCTTGTGATGAATAAATGAAACCAGTATGACAGAGCACGTTGCTAATGGTAATATAGCACACAAATGGCTGTTGATACATCTCATGGGTTCTTGAATAAAAGATATTCCGATATGTCTTTCCTTTTGTTCCATAATTGGTCAGACAGCGCACACATTGGGAGCCTTTAAAGGTATTGCAGTTAAGAATATGAGCTTTGGTTTAAGAAAATGTAAATCTACCCTGAATGATAGAATTTGGCAGATCTATGTCATTATACTTTTATCCAAATCCAAAGAATGTACAACACCAAGTGAACCCTAATGGAAACTATGGGCTTTGGGAGACAATTATGTATCAGTGTTGGTCATTGATTTTTACAAATGTATCTCTCTGATGAGGATGTTTATAATGGGAGAGGTATGCATGAGTAGGGGGCAGGGAGTATACAGGAAATCTCTCTGCCCTGTACTCAATTTTGCTATGAACCTCAAATTGCTCTTAAAAATAGATAAATAAATAAGGACTATTAAAAAAATAGAAGTGCTTCTACTTCAACTTATTAGTTAATAATTTCTGTAAGCTTCCTGGTTCTTGCCCGTGCTATGAGTATAGTTATAGTTCCTATTTCATGGGGTTGTGATAGGGATTAAAAAAATAATGCATAAAAGCACTAATGCAGGTGTTCAGTTAGCACTCAGTAACTGTTAAACATCATCATCATATTTAAATACTTTAAGGACTTTTAAAGAAACTGATATAGTATATGTAAAGATAACTAACTTGGTGCATTAAGTAAAAATAGGCATTTCACCTTTGTGTCCTTTTCTTGTCCCACTTATTAGAAACATCAAACAAGTGCTACCCAGGCTTGATCCTACAGAAAAGTTTCCCAGAGTATATCCCCCTTTAATGCCTTTGTGTAGTACATGGAATTATGCAAAATGGAACACTTGCCACTGGGAACCTGAGTCTATCTATACATGCCTGCATTAAATGACAAAGAAGCAAAATGTGGGGAATCCCTGAAATTGGCAAAGTTCACTTCAGCATTCCCTGTTGAAAACTGAGAACAATATGGGGAGATTCCAGCACAAGGACTCCAACCTTTGCCATGGACCTATGGATGCCACAGGCTTTATTCAATTTTATTTGCACCATGGTTTGCTGAAGACAAGCTTGTTTGACTCAAAATGCAGAGCACTGACACTTTTGGCTTAGAGTGTCCCTTTCTGGATGTACTCTCCCCATGCTCTGCCTAACTCGAAATGGACTGGTGATATTCCAGATTTATTTTTCTAGGGACACATGTGGTATATAATATTGGGTTTTAATTGAGAGCTTTAGAAATTAACTATGCTGCTCTAGTGGAATTCTGATCAGTTTCTTCTTTGTTTTAAAATAGATGAAAACCTGACATAATTGAGGACATATTTTTTATCAGTTAATGTGAACTTTACACAAATAATACTGACTTTATATACATTTTTCATGGTGATATATATATATATCACCATGATATATATATATAATCACCATATATATGTATATATATGTATGTGTATATATATATGTGTGTGTGTATATATATATATATATATATATATATATATATATATAGTTTGTCCAGAAAGTGTCTAGCCACATACTATAAAAAATAGAGACATTTATCGAAGAAGATACAAGAAACATTGTACATATAATAATGACACCTCAGTCCCCTTCAGAGAAGGCACCTTGGGTCTTCACACAGTTCTCCCAATTGCCACCAGCTGCTCCATCATATTTTCACGAATCTCATCAATGGTCCAAAATCTCTTCCCTTTCGAAGGTGATTTTAGTTTGGGGAAAAGCCAGAAGTTGCATGGTGCCAAATCAGGGCTGTAGCAGGACTGAGTTACCTGAGTGATTTGATGTTTCTCAAAAAAACTCTGCATAAGATATGATGCATGAGAAGGTGTATTGTCATGGCGAAGCTGCCAATCACCAGTTGCCAATATCTGTGGCCTTCTGATTCATCTGAATAGTTTATGCTGAGGAATGTTCAAGCTTAATGCAAAATTTGACACAGATTTGTTGCTCTACTCAGTCACATTGAATACAATTGCCACGCAAAACATATGCTCACTCAATGACATCTACTGACCCCACTAACTAGTACAGTGAAGTTGTCATTGTTTACACATACAAAATTCCAGTCCACTTTCTTTGGTTGCCAAATTAAACCAATGTGAGCAAAGTGTTCTCATTTTATTAACAGTGGCTGGGTTTTTTCTGGACAGACCTTGTATCTTTAATTTTCATTCTTCTATTAAAAAACATTAATGCACTTCCAGCCAAGATGGCAGCATAGGCAGACATGGCTCGCCTCTTTGCACAAGCACATCAAAATTACAACTAAAATACAGAACAACCATCACTCAGGAATGTCAGAAATTGAGCTGAATGGAAGTCCGACAACTATGAAATTTAGTTAAGTGGAAGTCTGACAACTATAGAATTAAAGAAACCACATCCATCGAGACTAGCAGGAGGGGCTCAGATGCTGAACAGGCTGGTCCCATACCCATGTGGATAAAAATTTCAGAAGGGATATCTTGGGAGCAAGGAGTCCCAGACCCATACCTGCACCCCCAGACCAGGATTCTAGTTCCAAGAAGATAAGTCCCTACAATTTCTGGTGGCAAACACTAGCAGGGATTGAATCAGTGGAAGAAAATTCTGGAACCCCAAGCAGTTGCTCTTAAAGAACCCATACATGGACTCACTTACTTAGACTCACTCCCTGTGAACTCCAGCACTGGGGTAGCAGCTTTAAAGGCACAAGTGGTATACAGGGAGAAACTGAAGTGTCTGGCATCAAGGCAAGTGGAGGACATTGTCCCTTTGCTAAACCTTTCCCCCACAGTGCCAGTCAGCTGATACCATATCTGAGACTCAATCAACCTAACACTATTTGACCCACCTTGGACATCCCCAGAGTTTCTGCCCTACCCAACTTACTGGACCAATCCAAGCTGCTTTTCATATGAATGGTTGGTCTTGGTTCCTAAATCCTATCAAACAAGCAACAGCTGGCTTCAGTGCGCCCTAGCAGCAGCCAGATTAGATTCACTGCTTGGCTTCACCTGGGAATCTCCAAGCCCCGCATAAGTAGCAGCCATCTCAGATTGCTTTATAGCTCATACAGGGTGCCTCTGTGAGTCTGAACACAGGTGAACACAGGTGAGTCTGAACTGGGAAACCCCAGGGCCAGCATACCCAGTGGACAGCTATAGAACACATCACAGCACCACCTCCTTGCTCCTGCACAGCTGATCTTCCATGAAGGGTGGAGGTCGGGGTCACAGCCAATTCTTGAAACTGACTGGCCTAGGTAAATCCCTCCCATTGATCTGCCAACAGCAACCAAGGCTCAAGTACAAGAAGAGGGTATGCTTAGCCCACAAAGGGCACACTTGTGTACACAGCTTGGGTGATAGAGGAGGCTGTGCCACTGGACCCTACAGACACCTATTACATTAGGCAACACTACCAACACACAGAGTCAAAGCAGCTAATACACAGAAACAAACACAGGGAGGCTGCCAAAATGAAGAGACAAAGAATCATGGCCCAAACTAAAGAACAGAACAAAACTCTAGGAAAAGAGCTAAATGAAATGGAGATAGGCAATCTCAGATGCAGAGTTCAAAATACTGTTTATAAAGATGCACAAGAATCTTTATAAATAGTGAGGACCTCAGCAGTATAAAAAAGATCTAGTCAGAAACAAAGGATAATCTAATTGAAACAAAGAACAATCTACAGGGAAACAATAGTAGAGTGGATAAAGCCAAGAATCAGATCAATGATTTGGAACATAAGGAAGCAAAAAAGCAA